CATAAATACTGAAATTACCCCTGTACCCAAATATGTTTAGAACTTAGGCTTTGATAATCAACTCAAAGTATTAATTTATCGATCTGGTTTCTAGTTTCTGTTAAAGACTTAAATTGCATTAAATCCGAATAGCAAAAAGAAAATACTCCCCTATTAACATTAAATTATTAAGACTTCCTTTTTTTTTGAGTTTAGAGTGTCATATTCAATAATCTCAAAATTTATTTATCCTAGGCTATCCCATAAATTTTTATTTTTTTTCAATATTGATTTATTATAATTTTAAAGAAACTGATAATTATTAAGCACCTTCTTAAAGATGATATAATATATAATTTGCTTTTCTACCGAAATTAAATCTCAATTCGATTGATACACTTTTACTTTGGGCAACATTTCGTTCAATTGTTCTATAATTTGGATGATTTTTATAATAAAATAGATAATTAAATGACAAAAAATTTGATTTGTAGCATTATTTATAAAAGGGGAACTTTATTTAGGAAACATATATACAAAAGAAAGAAGGTCTGGTTTATCTAGTATTAAATATAAACTTAAATTAAGTATATAACTAGCTATTCTTTGCAATTTCAAGTTTAAAAATTCCTCTGCTCATCATTACTTTCATTACTTGTTAAAACGATGTAATTTTCTAATTTTTTAGGAATTATCCTAGAATTCTATATCTATTTCAAAGTTATAATTAATCAAAGCTATAGAAATATAAGAATTTGCATGTGACATAATATAGGCAAAAGTAAAGCTTTATCAAATTTTAAATAAGTATATTAGCTCGAATTAATGTATAATAAACACCATAACATACAGTCACTCAAGTATAACATAGGACTAAATTCCTTCTTTAAAAATTTCATAAATAGTTTATGTGACATTAACAATTCAATGCTAATTTGATCAATAGAAAGAAAGTTCTAATAGAAATGATAAATTCATATCTAATTGTACTTGAACTGCCACTTGTACTTGTACTAGACCAATCTTCGACGGATAAATACACCTCATTTTATCCTTTACTTTTATTTAAACAGTACATGAGATGATTATACAAATTGGTCACCTTCTCTTAAAATCAATTCTTTCAAAAAGTTAATTTGTTCCTTAGAAATTTTAACTTAATATGTACTGTCTGGTATAGGAGTATCGAAAGTTGTGAATGCATATTATTCCCTTCAAAACTCTGCGATTGACAATATAAAGAACTTGTACCAAATAATCATATGATGCATAATTATAAACATCAATTAATAGCAGAATACTACTTATTCTAGAAATTGGCAGAGTATAATTAAGGTTGATAAGTGTGCAAAATAAGCATATTGCATTTATTGAAACCGTCATATCATACATTTACAATGAAACATTCTGATTAATTTATCATACTCTACCTGAAGTTCTTAGAACTTGGTAGTGTAGTTCAATCCGATGATAAAATTACTTGCCCTAATTGCTTATTTGGATGTTCGCTGAATTATTTATGTTCTCCTGTGGCTCACTTCCTTCTTCTAAACCACTTTTACAGTCGTTGGCTATTTGATGATGAAGCAATACTAAATTAAAACTTTGTATTGATGATTATAATTTCTACTAATCTTTGCAAATTGCAATAACTACAACAATTAGAAATTTAAAGCCATCCTTGCCAATTTGTTAAGACTCTCTTTATAAAATTTTGATCATTAAACAAGTTTTCCTTTTAATTATATGTAATATACATTTCCTCCGCCTTACTAATATAAATATTTTTTTTAAAAGATATTATTAAAAAATTTCACTCATGATGAAACCTATTATTAACTACACTTCATTTAATTTTCTATCAACAACTATAAAAAAGCTATTGAGGCCATGTTATATATATTGTCTTGTGTATGTTTATGTAAAAGTTGATAAACTAGTGATTATATTGATTTTATTGCTCTTTGAGAATTGTTTAGTGAGTACTAAATGTATTTACGTTTCACTTAACAACATGTGACAATAACTAACCATTATTCTTTACTAGCCCTTAAGATAAAGCAAGTTAAGATAAAAAGGAAAGTAGTTGTCCTTCATTAATAACCCTAGAGAATGTTTTAAATGTCAGACAAACTGAGATTTCCAACCTCCCTATTTGTATGTTGTTCACAACTGTAACTTAGATCGAAACTTATCATTTCTAGATGGCTAACTTTCTTACTATGTGATTAGATTTGATGGTACAGATTTTCAATTATATTCTTCAAATATTTTATGTTTAAACTTTTTTCTTTTTGGAACTGAATATTTTAAATCAGCTGTTAAACTGCCTTTTCAAATTATAACAAATGCAACTTATGGAATTCAATCTTCTGTTTATCTTGTGCTACAAATTCATTCTGTCATAGTCTTCCTTAAATGTGATGATTAAGCATTTGCATAACTTGCTTACTGCTTGATGTTCCTTCAATCAATATTTCTAATGTTACGCCCCTTCCTTACAAAATTGATTATAACTTTTTAATATAGCAACTTTTTTATGACATATACCTTGTTCTTCAAATGATTATATTAATATGATAGATCCTTATGGTAGCTGTTCTCTATTGTTGTAAATTCGCATTGTGAAATCAAACCACTTCATCCAGTCCCGAAAATAACAGTTAATACACTTTGTAATTTTACGATGCGAAGTTAATGGATAATTTTTTGTGAGAGCGGCATTACTTTTAAATGCTCGCAAAACTTACTATTTAAGATTTGTTTTTACATTAAAATATAACATCTCCTTATAATTGTATACTCTCGTAATAGTAAACTTTTTGCTTATCGTGCTTACTTAATAAACAAATATATTATCTTAGTAGCTCTAGCGGTAGATTAATAGGATACATATTACTAATAGACATTATAACCTCCTAGTCTCAGCCTATTATTAGATTTCTTTTTGGTTCCTATAGAGACAATAGTAATCCATAAAAAATCTAGGAATAACAAATCTTAAAGTCTTGCATCGTACATTTAAGTCGCCTTTACAAATATTAGTTGTTTATATTTGCTTCAACTGTATTTATTTTTATATCATCTGCATATTTGTATATTTGTCAACTGTATTATGACCTAATTGCAGTAATCCACTCCACCTGTCAACTATGCTCATCCAGATCTGATAATCATTCTTGGTCATTTAATGTTTAATTTCTCTATTTAGTATCTTAATTACTATTCTAATGTTCTAATGCTTTCTTTAATAAGGATTGTTTTGATGGATGAAGTAGTAAAGTTTATGATGTGAACAGTTACAGATAAAGATGCTTAACTTTAACAATAAATTCAAATGACAATTTCAATAAAGAATTTTGTTGACAATACTATAATTCTTTATTCCTTTCTTCATTATTACTGCAGTGTGTTACTTTTCTTTAATTTATTAAATGCACATCACTGAGAGCAGCACTAGCAGAACTATATAGAAAAAGGTAGGTTTTAAAGACGACTCCCTAAGGCATTTATCAGATGTAAACATAAAAGCACTGAATGGCCTAATATGAATGCTATAAACACTTCATTAATTTTGAACCAGGATGAACCATATACTTATCTCAAAAAATAAAAATTCTTATTAGTATAATCAAAAAAGGAAGCTCTGCCTAGATCCTATTACAATCCATATTATAGCCACTGTCATTCCGAATTTTGAAACTTTTAACAACTCATCCACATGTAATTGTACGACTTGAAACCAACAGGGAGATAAATTGTTCGAGTTTATCAAGCATTTTCTTACAATATTAACTAAAAGCAACGTATTATAAATAAACAAAAGAAGAATCTTAAGTATATATGAGGAATCTTTACAACTCCTTTGAGGGAAGTGGAAGTTAGAATAGAGTTTACTAAATGTTAATCTCTATCATCTTTACATTACACAAGACAGTGATAGTTTCCAGAACTGGTTGATGTAGCTAGCAATTAAATCGTTTGATCAACTAAAAAAAAATTTTACACCTAGTTGCACACGGCTACCATTGATTATGCTTAGTAATGCATTTTTGTTTGATCATATCATCAGGATTGGCAAGTTGAACTTGAATATTAGATTAGATTAACCCAACGCAGATTTAGGAATCTAAAACATAAAAGTTGAGTATATCTTAAAGTAACCTTCAATACATGTGCAACTATAAAGAGTAAAGTTTTAATAAGAAGGATAATTAAATGAGAGAATAATAATATATACATAATTGAGGGGATCAGAAATTTAAAATGACCTGAAAAGCTTGAATTATAATCATAGTATTTCAGATTTCCTTGTTATTATTAAGCACGTT